TCTTGTTCATTTGTTTCAAGTTTCCATAATTACTCATTGAAGCACTTATATGATAACTGCTTTAAAATCTTGTCAGATTATTCTAATATGTAGTTCATCTTGATATAAGCATCTATTCATCATCCTTTCTCATTTAAGTTGTGATCTTCTTGGTTCTTGATATAATGAGCGATTTTTTATTGTGTCTTGGACAATTTGTCATTATGTTGTGAAACTTTGGATTTTATTTAAATCTCCTGTTTTAGCAGGTCTTCCTGATGCCTCACTGGTGGAGGTCTGCGGGTATGGTAAGGTGGGAGTGAAAGTCCAAGTTCCCCTCTTAGTCTCAATTGACAACCATGGTGATATAAGTGCTTCATTATTGCTGGGCAGGGATGGAAGTCTCCCATGGGCCTCTTCTGACACTGCCTTGGGTAGAAGGGAGACGGTGCTTTATTATAGTCTTCCCAGGAGGCCTCTACTTAAAACACCAGACATGAATGAGCCCATCACTGCTTGGTTGTGGTGATGTTCCCATCATTGTATTAAATTCAATGCCCTTGTACTAAGAGAAGGTGGTTTATTATGATTTTAGTTCTTTTAAACATGTTGATGTTTATTTTATCGCCCAAATTATGATCTATTCTGGTGAATTTTTCCTTGTCCATTTGAGAAGAGTGTTTATTCTGCTGTTGTTGGCTGGCGTGTCCTATAAATATCAATTAAGTCAAGTTGATTTATAGTGTTGCTCAGGTCTTCAATATTCTTTTTTTCTATATATTCTTTTAAAAAAAATCTTTATGTTCTTTTATTAGAGCAAGATTCCTGACCAGTATACAGTGATGTATTCACTAAATAGACCTATGCAGAAATTACATACTATCCAGCTAGATATGTTTTATTACACTTTGCCTATTGATGGAATACTAGTAGTTCCACTTATAAAGTTTTATACATCAAATAGCTTTGAATTTGACCAGGCTGTCCTTTAATTCATCTCTGAAAAAATTAACTGGCATTTAATTTCAGCTACTATACTTTACAGCATTAAAAAGCTTAGGCATTAGGTAGCTTCTCAAAATGTTGTTCTATGCACAATGGCATCTAGCAGACAGAGCAGAGTCCATCATCTCACCCAGATTCACACAGACGGGTCTCATTGGAGAACGATAAGCTAACTAGCTGGTATTTAAGGGACAAAAGTTCTCCTAACCTGAGTTTCTTAACCACCAACATGGACTTCTTACTCTGCAAGCCTGTCTTCTGAGCCACCTTTATAGTGCCAGTGAAGACATGCCAGCCATAGCCCCGTGTGTAACTCAACGTGAGCGCCAGGTCTGTCTGGTGGCGGTGGCCAGCACTGTTATTATATCCAGGTAAATAGAGACCCATTTTTAAAAAGCCAATTTGATATACAAAATTAAAAGTACAACTAAGTTTGATTGAGCTAAGTTTGCACAATCTGGAATTCCAAATGATTTGAAAATTTTCAGAAACTGATAGCAAATTGTACTCATGGTGTTTTCCCGACATTAATACACTGATTAATCACCCAAATTGATTCAAACTTTTTTACTCAGTCCACATAGCCCTGAGATCATCCTGCAAAGTGCGTATCAAAAAATACGAAATTAGGCTGACAAAGTTTGATATGTTAAACAAGTTCTAACATATCTGTTCTAAGAGAAAAGCACCAAATCCTTTATATACACATTTAGTTTTATTGTAACAAAGCAACTTGTACTCTTTTAATGTTTAAAACTGAGCATCATTTTTCCTTTCCAGTGAAACAAAAAGAAAATTTAAAAATAAACAGGAACAAAATTACAATAGAGAAATGTCAATTCTGAATAAGATCCTACAGGTTCTGCTGATTCTCCCATTGAGTGGCAGGGCTCAAGTCATCATTAGGAGAGAATTTTATTTTAAAAGTGTCATCTTAGACTGCAAGGATGTCTGTTAAACATCACAATTAAACATGCCAAAGGAGAAGCCATGTTGTCATGCCCACTTAACCCACCCAAACATCTCAAACCCACTCTTTGCTGACCTTCTGTAACCCCCCCTTTTTAAGTTTTTCTTTTTCTTTTTTTAAACAAGAGAAACTAGATAGGTACATGTTGGTAAATGCTAACTGTTCATATTCACATAGAGACACAGTGTAATCTCTGACCCAATATGCAGAGAAAGGAGGAAAAAAGCTAGAGCTGGGGCCTAGCAAGCTCCAGCTCCCAGCAGAGCTAAGGAAGCAGAAGGTTTTTCTTTTTCTCCCACAGAGCATGGTAGTGTTGATTCCATTAAGTTTTTCTTGAGACAGAAAGGGATAAAAATGAATTTGGACCAGAAAGGGGCAAAGATTCTTTTCCCACAGTATTCTGCTCAAGGTACATCCCCCACCCCCAAATAAGGTGAGAACAGTGGTGTAAAGGAGAGAAAGAAAAAAGACCTCAAAACAGGGCGACTGAGCACAAGGGGCGGGGGTGGGAGGGGGGAGAAAAAGAAAAAAAAAAAGAATGCAACTTGTTCCCAGGGACTGGAGAAAATGAAAAAAAAGGTTTGAATCCATCAGTGTTCATTAGTCATCTCCTTCATCTTCCTCTCCTACTTCCCCCTCATCATCTTCAACTTCTTCACCTTCATCCTCATCCCCTTCTTCATCAATATCTTCCAACCTTCCTCTTCATCATCATCATCTATATAGTCTTATTAATTTTTTTGCCAGCTCATTTTATTGATTACTGAGAGAGAAGTTTTGAATTGTTCCAATTGTGGATTTATCTTATTTTTGCTTTTAGATCTGTTTTTGCATCATATATTTTGAAGTTCTGCTGTTTAGTTAATACACAATTAGAATTGTGTGTTAATTGACTCTGTTATTATGTATCTCCCTCTTTATCCTTGATAATATTATTTATTTTGAAGTCTATTTTGTCTGATTATAATATAGCTATTCTACTTCCTTTTAATTGTTTTTTTAAATATATTTTTATTGATTTTTCACAGAGAGGAAGGGAGAGAGATAGAGAATTAGAAACATCGATGAGAGAGAAACATCGATCAGCTGCCTCCTGCACATCTCCCACTGGGGATGTGCCCGCAACCCAGGTACATGCCCTTGACCGGAATCGAACCTGGGACCTTTCAGTCCACAGGCCGACGCTCTATCCACTGAGCCAAACTGGTTTCGGCCCTTTTAATTGTTTTTAATGGAATATTTTCTTCAGCATTTTACTTTTGATAATTTATATTTTTAATACAAAGTCCTTTCTTTTAGACCACAAATAGTTGTGTTTTCCTTTTTCATCCATTTTCATTTAACATAACTAGTGATAAAGTTGAATTTAAATTTACTATCTTGCTAGTTGTTTATATTTGTCCCATTTGTTCTTTTTCTTTTTTTTCCTTTTGTTTAGGTCCTTTTGAATTGAGCTCTTAGAAATGATTCAATTTTATTCATGTTATTCATTAGTCAGTTACATTTTAAAAAAAGTTTCTTAGTTGCTGCCCTAGGACTTCATATATATATATATCCTATATAATAAAAGGGTAATATGCAAATTGATCCTAACAGCAGAATGACTGGGAATGACTGGTCACTATGACACACTCTGACCACCAGGGGGCAGATGCTCAATGCAGAAACTGCCCCCTGGTGGTCAGGTCACTCCCACAGGGTGAGCTCTGCTCAGCCACAAGCCAGGCTGACAGCTACCAGTAGAGTGGTGGTGGCAGGAGCCTCTCCCGCCTCCTCAGCAGCACTAAGGATGTCCAACTGCAGCTTAAGTCTGCTCTCTGCTGGTAAGTGGACATCCCCCAAGTGCTGCCAGGCTGCCAGAGGGATGTCTGACTGCCAGCTTGGGCCCGATCCCCCAGGGAGCAGGCCTAAGCCATCAGGTGGTCATCCTCCAGGGGGTCCCAGACAGCAAGAGGGTATAAGCTGGGCTGAGGGACCCCCCCCACCCCCGCAAGTGCACACATTTTTGTGCACCGGGCCTCTAGTATACACACACACACACACACACACACACACACACATATGTATATATGTGTATATATATGTATATACATAGAATTTATTATGTCCCACTTTAAGTAATACTATACAATTTCACAAATATTTTAAGAACCTCATGATAGTGTACTTGAATGCCTCTCCCTGTCCTTTGTGCTATTGTTATCATATATTTTATTTTTATGTACTAACCCCTCAAAACACTGTTACTACTTATGCTTCAGTAAATTATATTTTAGAATGATTAAAAATAATGGAGTTTTATATTTATTTTTTCCATTTCTATAAATATGTTTATTTTTGCCATTTCTATAGATTATTTCTCTGTATAGATCCAGTGTTTCTGATTGGCATGATATTCCTTGTGATTGAAGGATTTCACTAACATTTCTTCTGGCACAGGCCTTCTGATGGTGAATTCTCTTGGTTTTTGTTCATCTGTGAAAGACTTTATTTTCACCTTCAAATTTGAAAGATATTTTGGGTGTCAGTATAGAATTTTGAGTTGACAGGTTTTTCCTCCCCTATTAGTACTTTAAAGACATAATTTTATTTTCTTTTAGCTTGCGTTGTTTCTGGTGAGAAGCCTCTTTTAACCATTATGTTTTCTCCTCTATCTATAATGTGTCTTGCATGTCTGACTAGGTTAAGATGTTCTATTTATCCTTGGTTTTAGCAATTTGAATATGATGACTCCCAGTCAATATAGGGTTTGAATTTAATTTTTTCTAGTGGTGATGGAGAGTGAGGAGTTCCGACCTGCAGTTGTATCTGTGTGTGCTACAGCAGAGGTGAAGTTTAGGAACATCACATTACCATCAGTGTAACTCCAGTAACGGCCTTGGTGCTGAAGGTATCCTTAGTCAATTGTGTCAGTGAGCAACAGAAGTAAGATGCGTCTGAGACTTCCTTTTCTGAATTTATCACCAATGTTAATTTTCAGAGAGCACTAGAAAATTCAGAAGGGATATCATTGTAAATACGGTACTTAATTTTTTCTTCAATAAAGCAAACTAAATTTAACGAAGAACTGCAAAAGGAAAAGAGTCAGCCTAATGAGACACCGAAGAAGGAAGCAGCAGGTGCCTTACGGAAAGCTAATCCTGGCTCAGACAAGAGCACGTTGGAGAAAAACCAAATTAATTTTGGGAAGAATCACATGATCAAGAGATTAAAGCCAAGCTTAAACTGGAAGACCACTGTTGAGTCCAAAGAGTATGTAGACATTTGCATGATGGGATTTTAAAACCATCGTTAGTGACCATATTTGCCTAATTTTTCACAGAACTTTATTTCATATAAGAAAATACAGAGTAGTATTCTTTCCTGCTCCTCTTCCTATTTCAAACAGAGAGATTTGACAGGCAACAGGGTTTATATATGGGTTCTGGAAAGGGAATGGAAGAACACAATTCACTTTCATGTAGTTGGTAAGTTGGGCAAATAACTTGAAAAAGATGATACAACACACGGAGAAATCACATGGGCTACTTGTTAAGTGGGAGGTGAATTTTTAAATTCAGCTTTTTGTATGTTCTTATTTTTTTAAATTAAGAATTTACCTAAGTGTTTAATGAAAACCAAGTAGGTGCCAAAGACTATGCTAAAGCTGGGGATACATAGAAAATCAGATACAGGCCTTTCTGTAACATTGGGTGGAGAAGGTAAAAAAAATAGACAACTACAATCAAGGCAGTAATCTACTAGGTTAAAAGCTACAGAGTAAAGGCCTTTCACATGTTCCTAGTACAAAGGAATACGGAACAAATTGCTTCTTCATTATAGAAAGTGCATGACTGCTCAAAGGAAATTCTCTGTGTCTGGAAAACACATAATTTTGGGGCATGAAAATGTTGGAATACTTGTATACATTTCTATTTTAATTTCCTATTAATCATCAAAAAATAACTAATAAAGAATGTTTTTAGACACAGAACCTCATTTCATGAGGAAAAACATGGCGGAAGACTTGAAAAGTCAGCAACATCTGTTTCATCTGGAAAAGCACAATGGGTTCGGTATGTTTCTGTTAACCAGTTTTTAACACCATTCTTACAGGATATGCTAACTAATCCTAACTAATGGCATTCTTACTCTTCGGGTGCCAAGATACCTATATTGACAGTTACTAGTAATGTTTTGCACAATGATCATACTGGATTTCTTTTAGTGCAGAGCTGGAAGAAATGGCAGAAATCTCACACTATGAAGTTTTCAACTTGGGAACAAAAACAAAACTTTAAGATACTCTACTACATTTATACTACTTGGGGGGTGTCAATCTAATAAACACTTTAATTTGTCTGACAATTCTTCAACTTTTTATTTTTAAATAACTATAGATTCACAAAAAGTTACAGGGGTACTACAGAGAGGTCTCATCTCCCCTTCACCTAGCTTCCCCCAAAGGTGACATCTAGGCTAACTACAGCATAATATCAAAACCAGGAGGGTAGCATTGGTACAATGTATATGTATACTTCATGCCATTTTGTCACATGTAAATGGTGTGGTGACTGTGGCAATCCAGAACCAGGACTATTCCATCATTACACAGAGCTCCCTCCTGCTACCCCTTATAGTCACACCCATTCCCTTTCCCCCATTATTCCCAGTCCTTGGCAGCTGTTAATCTGTTTTCCATTTCTATAATTTTGTCATTTTGAGAATGTCATATAAACATAATCATAAATTTTTGTACTGGCTGTGTTTTTCATCTAATACTCTTGACATTCATCCAAGTTGTGGCTTGTATTAGTAATTTGTCTCTTTTTTTTTGCTAAGTAGTATTCCATGGTATGAATGTACCATACTGTAATTTCTCACGTATTGAGGGAAATTTTCATTCCTCTCAGTTTTTGGCTATTACAATTAAGGTGGTTGTAAATAATTATAGAAAAATTTCTATATGGATGTAAACTTTCATTTCTCTAGGACAGCGGTTCTCAACCTGTGGGTCGCGACCCCTTTGGCGGTCGAACGACCCTTTCACAGGGGTCACCTAAGACCATCCTGCATATCAGATATTTACATTACAATTCATAACAGTAGCAACATTACAGTTATGAAGTAGCAACGAAAATAGTTTTATGGTTGCGTCACAACATGAGGAACTGTATTTAAAGGGCCAGAAGGTTGAGAACCACTGCTCTAGGATAAATGCCCAATTGCCAACACATGTAATAATTGTGTGTTTAGCTTTGTAAGAAATTGCTAGATTCTTCCAGAGCGGCTGTACCATTTTACTATCCTACTAGCAATGTATGAAACTCACTTTCTTCTTATCCTTGCCAACATTTGGTATTGCCATATTTTTTATTTTCGCTGCACTAAAAGATGTGTAGTGTTGTCTCATTATGGTCTTAGCATTTCCTAAAATGGCTAGTGATATTGAACATCTTTTCATGAGCTTATTGTTCATGTATGTTCTTTAGTGAAATGTCTTGTATGTCTTTTGCTTATTTTCCAATCAGATCATGTTTTGTTTTTAAATGTTGTGTTTTGAGAGTTCTTTATCTATTTTGGGTATCCTAGGTTGGATATGTAGTTTGCAAATATTTTCTCCTCTCTGTAAGTTGTTTTTTTCATTCTCTTAATATAGGGTCTCTCATAAAACAAGTTTTTAATTTTGATAAAGTTCAACGTATAGATTTTTCTTTTATGGATTGTGCTTTTGATGTCATGTCTAAGAACTCTTTGTGATGCCTTTAGTCCTGAAGATTTTCTTTGTTTTTCTCTAAAAGTTGTGTTATTTTTACATTAAAGACTATGATCCATTTTGAGTTAATTTTACTTATAAGGTGTGAGGCTTAGGCCAAGCTTCACTTTTTTGCCTATGGATGTCCAGATGCTCCAGCACCATTTGATGAGAAGACTGTCTTTTCATCATTGAATTGCTTTTGGATTGTTAAAAAAAACAAAACACCAGTTGGGTGTGCTTATGTGAGTCTATTTCTGGTCTCTATTATAGTCAGTTGATCTTTATCTGTAGCCTTTCATGAATACCACACTGTCTTGATTACTATAACTATATAGTAAATCTTGAAATATGGTAAAGTGGTTTTTCTCACCTTTTAAAACTTGTTTTTGCTATTCTAGTTTCCTTCTTTTTCACACAAATTTAGAATAATCTTGCTATATCTATTTTAAAAAATGTGCCAAGGATTTTGATGTTTTTCCTATGTAGAGTAATCTCATCTATAAACACTATGTGTGTCTGCATTTGGACTTTTTTATTTATTTCACCAGCATTATGTAGTTTTTAGCATACAAGTCCTGTACAAAAAATTTGTTAGATTTATATCTGGAACTAGAGAATCCAGTACAATGCTGAATAGCAGTGGTCAAAGTGGACATCCTTGTTTGTTCTCCATCTTAGGGGAAAATGTCTTTCACTATAGTAAGTACAATGATAGTGTCGGTTTTGTACATATTCTTTATCAAGTTGAGGAAGTGCCCCTCTGTTCTTGTTTTTGTTTTTTGTTTTTTTGAGAGTTTTTATCATTTAAAGAGATGTTGCTGAAATAGTAACATTATAAACATGTACATGCTGTAACATAAATATATTTATTATATGTTGTTGTTATTAGTAAGAGTGCTGACAAGGTTGAGGAAATTGTTAGTGAGAGCTCCTCAGAGAGTGAAGAAGATGAAGAACCACCTGATCATCGCCAGGAAGCAAATGCAGATTTGCCATCGGAATATTGGCAGATTCAGAAGCTGGTGAAATATCTGAAGGTAAGACAGACCCTTTGTACTATGTTTGCAATGTTTATTTTTAAATCCTTGCCCCAAAATGTATATTCTGCTTCCAAGTTTATTGTATGTTTCTTTCAAAGAAGGGTTGTAGGAACCCTATTTTTATTTAAATGTGTACAGGGAGGAAGGTCTTCTTCCCTCTAGGATGACAAGGTTCGTCCTCCTGGAGCAGGCAGGCTGCCTAGAGCCAGCTATCTTGCTTAGAGCAACTGGGTAGCACCAGATACTATGACTTACCACCAGTGCGGTTTGAAGTTGGACTAACTTTTCTGCTGTACCACTTACTAGCAGTGTGGCTGTTGAAAAGTTTGGTTTGAGCCTTATTTTTCTCAACCTATGGTATAAAATAAGTATCCTATAGGATTAGTTTAAGGATTGAGAAAACATTTGAAACATGTGGCATAGTGTCTGATACATAGTAGGAACTTAAAATATTCATTGGTGCATTTCCATTTTTATATTTATTCCATTTATTATATTCAGTAATAAAACATACATATGAAAACAGTTTACATAATAACTGGCCATATAATGTTGTATTTAAGTACTTGGATGGTGGGAGGGGGGACAGAATCAAAGAAAATGATTTGCCAAAACCCAGAGTAATATTATTTTCTGATATTGGATAGCTGATATTGATCACGTCTAGGCTGTGTTTAAAGCAAAAGTCCAGAAGTACTTGTGAAAACAACATTATGGCTTATCTCATGTTTTCCTTCTGCTTCTCCATGTCTTTGGTCAAATCAACAGGGACATTTGCCAATGCCTTTGCACACTTAAAGGCGTTTGGGTAACTCCTAAAGTGCTAATGGGTACTTTTCCTGTGCCTTTGAGGTCCTCCAGAACTGAGAGGTAAAAGAGCCTATTTGTGCATATTTTTGTGAATTCTCCAAGGCCCTGCACAGATATGGCCTTGTAGGCATAGGTCAGTTGAAAAAGTTTTTCTTGCAAGAAACATATGCCCCTTCCTCTGTCAGACACAGCCTCAGGTGCAATTTATAGAAAAAGAAAAGTTTTCCTGAATCCCATGGAAAGGTAGTCAAGAAATTTGGAAAATGGGGAAAGGATTCTAATTCTCTTTGGAGAATTAAAATTTAGACATTGCTGATTCAAAGGAACTTACTAACATCATTGTAAGCAAGAGCAGTTAATTATCTAAGCTTGGTAATCATTCCATAATATATCTGTATATCAAATCAGCACATTGTACACTTTAAATAGAGATAATTACATTTGTCAATTATTCCTCAATAAAGTTGAAAAAACACACAATGCTAACAGTACAATCAAAGTTGAAAGTAGGCATTTCTAAGCGTCAGGACAGAAGCAAGTAGGAGAGAAGTGATCATAATCTAATGTCAGCCTTGCTTGTAGCATTTGCCATGCTCTAAATGTGTGTCTGCTGCTAACAGTGAATCATTCTTGCATAACTATTAATATGTTTATATGCATAGTATACTTTATACAAATCCTATTAGTGGTGTTTCAAGAAATAACAAATTTGAAAGCAAAATAAGTCATTAAATTTTAATTGAGATTTCCACTGTAGCCTTGTCAAGCTCGCTAAGTAGATCTGAATGTTATGTTTTTTGGATGTACTACCCAATAATTTTGCTGGCATTTTTTGGTGTTTGAATATTATTACAATTTGTTCTTTCTAAGTAATTTAACAGAAGAAATTCAAAGGGAAGATTATGTGAATATGTTGTGGAACATTCCATTATAAAACCAGAAACTGATGTTAAATCTGAATTAATAAAAACAACAAAGATTTAGATAGCCAATCCAGAATCAGGACAAACAGATAAAATATTTTCATCATTAAAAAAGGAAATGAGCTTATGTGAAGCAAACCCTAATGCCTGCCTTGGCTATGCTTTTAGAAGCCTCTTAATAATTTGAGCAATGTCAATACAAAATGAAAGAAAAATTACCTTTTTACATCTAGAATAGTAGCCAAGAAGCAAAACCCAACACTGTTGGATAGAACGATCAATGCTTTGTGTGTTTTAAAATTTAATTTTAAGAATGATATCTTATAAATGTAAATATTTTAATATCATTTTTCATTTTCTGAAGTGATTTTTATTTGGCCTTTATATTGTGTTAATGTTCCTCTCTTTTAGTGTTTTCTGGTCTCAAATATCAGGTAGAGATAATTTTTAAATGTTTTTGTAATATATATAGCTTATTTTTTTTACAGATCACCTCTGATATTTTTAGCATTGCTACCACACAAAAAATGATACACTCTTTAACATTATTCTCTAGTATGGTCAGGATTATTATTTTTACAATGTAAATAAAGTTTAGAAAAAAGCATGAGGTAATATGATTTCTGGAATTCCTAAGAATTTCTGGGAATTCTGATTTCTTATTCCAAAATTTGAAGATTCATATCTGTTGGGAATTTGGAAATACTAGCATGGAGCACAGGCTGGAGTTCAGGCCCCATGGTCCATCCTGTACCCCTTTGACAGGTGTCTTTGTGCACAAGCCATACATACAGCCAACATGGTGGCTTAGCTGGGCATGCGCGGCAGCAACGTACAGACTCAGGAGACCTTCCTGGCAGTGATTTGATCCTTTTCTGAACTGCAGAGCTGCCCTGATCTCTCCTCTACTCATAAAGAGCATATCACCCACCTGGAGAAAAGATTGGCAGTGTAGAACTTTTGTCACCCAAAACTTGGGCAGCTTGAGCCAGATGAGCTTTGTCGATCAGACAGGGCCTTTGGAAGAGCCCTGGTGTTTATCCAAATAATTCTGTTCTATTAACTGCATTTCATTGGTGAAAGAAAATAGTCAAAAGGGTGCAAGTATCAGCAGGACTAGGAGTAGACTAATGGATTAGTAGTTAGCAGCACGAGCTTCAATATCAGAAAGACTTCAGTTGAGTCAGGATCTGCCACTACTAGTTCTCTAGCCTTGGGAGAGCTGGTGGGTCTCTCTAGACTTCACTTTCCTCATTGGTCAAGATGGCAAAATAAAATGTCCCATATTTTAGAATTATTATGAATATTAAATGAAATCTAATACATGTAAGGTGTTGGCAATAATAATAATTTCCATTACATATTATTGCTGTAAACAGTGTATAGTGTGGAGTCTTGAGATACACAAGTGATCTCTACTTTTGCTTTAAATTTTCTAGCAACCATTAAAAGGAGGGAAATGCGGTGAGTTAATATGTTGAGGGAAAGATTCTTAATCATAATAAGATAGAAATAACTCAGTTGCCCATGTGTGTAACCCATCCTGGTGCTAAGAGCAGAAGGAATTTTCTCCCTGAAGACTTAAAGGGGCAGACTGTGAGTGAGGTAGTGAACATCTGCTTCAATAATATCCTCTCAGTGAACATGGTAAGGAGGTTCTCAAAATAGTCTAGTTATTGGATAACTATTTTAAGTTTTTCAACTATTTAGGATAAATACATATAATACTAGGCCAAAAAGGGATGCACTATTTCTGTCCCAGAACAGCTAAGAAAAACATTTATTGATGAAGTGCTATTTAAGCTTGCACAAGTTCTTCATCAATAAATTATGTGCAAATGTGATACTTTTGGCCAGACAGTAAATTGCTTGGAATTATTATAGTTCCCACAGGTAAATATTCTTAGCATAGCCAATAAAAGAAAAAGTATATCTACAAATGATTTCAAGGTTTTGATGTAGATAGATATTTTATATGGAGATACAAAAGGATATTAAAAGTCTTTGAAATGCAAAATTGAATGTCTCTAGGTAATCTCAAAATAAATACACTTGACATTTAATTTATAAAATTATTTCTAAATGTAGACTTAAACTAGCAGAGAAATGTTAATGTTGACCTGACTTTCTACTTAATTTTCCAAGTACAGCAATGTCTGTGATTGTTGAAAAAAAATGTTGATGAGCTCATTAATACTCATGTGGGTCAATGAACTATAGTTATTATTTATCCAGAGCTATGAGCTCAGATCTTGGCATGCAAGTAAAGGGAGTTTGTATTTAATTATTTGGCTTTGACACATGATCATTACATCTTGCAAGTTTTATATATGTATATATTCGTAAAATCTGGATTTTTAGAACACAATTTTTTTCAGATGAATATTTATTCAGAATTGTGGAAAGCCATATTTTTTACATAAGATTTTATGATTTGACAATTTTTTAAAATTTTCTTTTTATTGTTGACACTATTACAGATGTCCTCATTTTCTCCATCTTTGCCCACCTCCACCCAGCCCCTGCTCCTCCCTTTCCTCTGGTCATCTCCACACTGTTGTCTGTGCCTACAATGGGTTATGTATATATGTTTTTGGCTAATCCCTTCACCTCCTTTCCTCCAGTCTCCTCTCTCCCCTCCCCTCTGACAGCTGTCAGTCTTTTCTGTCTATCTATGCCTCTGTTTCTATTTTGTTTGTCAGTTTATTTTGTAGAACACGATTTACTTTTTAAACTAATTAATACTTGGCTTTTTTATTCACCACATTCCAACTTCCCCCCCACCCCCACCCCATATAACTGATGACTCTGTACCCTGGTTCTAAATGAAGCAATAATCCCCTTTCAGCTACCTTACTGAGATGCACTTGCATTCTGCCTTCTATTGTTAAGGTTTAGCGTGTCTGTCTTATCAGCTGTCTATCCTATCAGAGACCATATTAAATTATTTGTCTTGCAGGAGTCTTGCTAGTGAGCACAGCCTTGCCTCTCAACCCTTTGCCCAAAAGGTGTCACTGGGAGAGCACAAGGTTCTTGAGAGTCCAGGCTGTGCCATTCTTCACACTCAGATCCTCAAGAGCAGTTCTTCCTGCGAACCACATTCTTCCTTCTGCATTGCTGACTTTCTGCAACTTTTCTTCCTCTTCTCTCTCCTCCTTTTGCTGCCCCCTTTCTCCTTGTAGGTGTACTATTTTGTATTTGCTAGCTTAATAAGGATATTATTTTCTTCCCTTGCCATAAATGCTCCAAAATCTTGCAGTTAAA